CGATTTCATCCGGTCGATATTGAAAACACAGTGCTTCGATCGCATAAGAAAATTTGCGAATGGTGAGCTGAGTTTTCAGTCTGTTGTTCGTTTTCTTTCTGTTTAACCCACTTCCTCTCTCTTTCTCTCCCTCTCGATCCATGGGTTACATCACAGAATGGTGAGAGATTTAAACACTTTTAATGATCCAATCAACGCGCGAGAGATTCCCTTTACCCGGTTATTCCAATATGTTCTTTATCTTCCCCTTTTTCAGTGCTGTCTTCACTTGGTCCAATTTACTGGTTGTCGTGGCCGAATTGTTGGGCGAGGAGAGTGAGGCCATGGATCTGGTGCATCCAATCACCGCACATGTACTTGCCGAGCATCAGCTGATTGTGGGTGTGGTGGTTGTGACTGATCCGGGCACCGTGCCAGTCAATTCCTGTGGCGAAAAGCAACGTATCCTGTTACGAGACAGTTTTGTGAATGACAAACTTGATCCAATCTATGTCTCCTATAACATGTGACCCATTCGCATGCCTGTAATGAGTGAGCGTAAACATATATTTCTCCATCCGCTCAGTCGTATCCGGCTTGTCTGTCCATCTCCGATGAATCTGACCTCAGCTCCCCATCAACACACACAAACACCACACAGTCGACCAGCCCGGTATTTGAACCGTTATCACTGTTTCAACATCTCCACCCTTGTCGCTTTTGTTGGTTTATCGTACGTTACCCACACACACACACAGTCTAGCCCGCTGTCGCCAAACCCCGTGACCTAATAATTTCTTTTCTTTTCCATTTTTGTTTTCTGTCCCCTATCTGCTTTTCAGTTGGAGGACTCTGTCATGTGTGACGCATCGTAGTTCCACATTACACTGAAGCCTCATACCATGTGCTCCTCCTCCTCTGTTCTGCTCTGTATCATCATCCATCTCTGGACAGGTGTTTCAACTCTTGCTCATCTGTTTCCATCCCCTCTCTTGCACACTCTTCGCGGCAAACCTGTCAACACACACACACACACAGCTCCAACCCTACCCATACGTTCATCATCTGCCGCCAAATCTATTTGCACCCAGTTCGCTCCAACGTGATTTGAGGATCCTCTCCTCTCCCGTGGGTACATCATCGACTTCCAGCCTAATATTTGATTGCGCATTTCTCCCGTGACTGGACTGTTTTTGATTATTTCAATCTATTCCACCATGAAATCCACTGAACGGTCAACTCGTACTTCATCTCTCTCTCTCTCTCTCGCCTATCGGAATCATTCGATTGATGATTATTTACTTTCGTGGCGATTCGATCCTGCTCCCCAACCTGCTGCGCCGTATCCTTGGCACGTTTATTATCCAACGCGAGTTGCTTTGAAACACATCCTTTGTCTGAATGCTTCTATAAAGAAGATGTACAGCGATGCTAAGCATGTTTGTGCATGAGTACGATTTGTCCCTCGTTTTTTTTCTTTGCCATCCTGCCTTTTCTGTCTCTCTCTCTCTCACACACACACCGCCTTCCTCCTAACAACCGGGAATAAAGCAGACCATTGTTTCCATTCACTTTTTGGATCCGCCTTGTGTTCCCGTGTGGAAATTGATAACTTTGGATCGCATGGTCTTTCGTTGTTTGTCCAACACGTTGGTCTCATCTCCACCTCGGATATCCCTGGAGCAATGCATGTGTGCACTGTCCGAATGGGATGAATGTTTGAATAAACTAGAATCGTCCTCTCTCCCCCACCCGCCGAATCCGACCCACCTCTTTCGGTCAATCCACCTTCGACGCCCTCTCTCTCTCTCTCCAACAACAACAGTGCTTTTTCTATCCTCTATGACATCCGATTATCCAAAACACACAAATACATGTACATGCTTCTAGCTGTTCTTGGCCATTTTGGTCGCTCTCTGGACAGTCTGCGGTGCAGCGTCATTGCTATTTTCCTTAATCCGAAATTCTTCATGGTTAGGATATTTTAGTCCTCGCAGATACTTGAATACTTCATCTCAATTTTGCAATACCAGGTCGTAATCAGGATATCTCGAAGCTCACCGATCATAGATAGTTTAGATAGGTGGATACCCTCGGGTTAAGCACAGCTGAATGCTACCACGCGCGTTCTCGGGTTGTGGATAGAGGAATACCTTTAGCGANACAGCGGTGGCACTACCAGGGTGTGGTGGTGGGTTTCAGCTGGTCTCCTGGCTCCCATTTAAAAGCCGCATAAGCCCAATGACGGTGTCGTGACAAAGGTCGATATGACTGGCCTTTTAAAACTTAAATCATTGACCCCTCACTTCTGACGTGAGGGATTACTTCCTGTTGCCTTGCATTTCGCACTTGGTTGTGCAAAGGCTAGAAGTAAGCCATCGAAATAAAAAAATGCCGAGTGACGCTAGGGACGTCTCTCGTACCAAACTCCCAAGGAAAATCATGATCATTTCTGGAGCCGACTTATCTTTTCCAGTGAGCCAACCGCAGTAAAGTAAAGAAGGTTGTAAAGCTGTAAAACTATCCAAATATAATGACATAAAATAAGCTTACGTAACACGTGATCAGGCGAATTTGCCAATCAGATACGCTCCAATAGCTGCAATTCTGGTTTATTTCCCAGGGAGTTAGCTAAGTTGGCTTTATTCCCGTGAAGTGTCCGTCAAAAAGTTTGAATGCCTAATTTGCCCGGATCTACGCAGCTACTGTGAATGAATGGTAATTTTTCAACTGTCTTAATTCACCACTCTCATCACTGAATTGCGCGGCTCATCATCAAGTTGTCCTCACTTGTTAATGTATCTGATCCGTATCCTTCTCATATCCATGTAAACAGATTGCAGTTTTTTCTATAACTAGCTAGCTGTTAAAAGTTGTTGTTTTATTAATAAGAATGCGCTTGGGCTTTGATACGCGAGTGATGAACTAAGATGCAAGACTGAAACACCACTTGTGTAGACGTGAAGTGTTGTTGAAACTGAAAGGTGGTGTATACTGCGCCAGTGTGCGGTCAGGTCTGTTCTTTGGTTGCGAGACCCTTAAATTTGTGCGTGCAAGATATTTGTCGTCTAGACGTCTTCGACTGCCGATATTTACGTAGTTTGGTGTTGGTTGGATGGAGTGAGTGTGTATGCAACTCGCGTATTTGATAATGATTCGTTGCTCGTCGAATTCGGATTAGTCGTCTTCGCTGGTTAGGACACCTATTGTGCATGCCCAACTGCACCGCACCCTATTCCCAGTTGCGCCTCCATGTTGGAAGAAACCGCATGGAGGTCAACAGATGACGTAGAAACGAGGCGTGAAGAAATGCACAGAGTGATTATGTATATTCGGTGTCTCCCGTCTTCCAAGTTAGGGTCCAAAAGACTCTGAAGGACACGGCAATTAACCGACACTAGTGGTGTTCGTGTTGTCATTTCTTATCAAGTCAGAATGCTTGAAAAGGTATGTATGCACACTTAGATTGTGCACTCTGTGTGTTGGCCATAGTGGCTCACCTTCTTGACCTCCCTTCAATTAGGCCAAATCCCTCTCCATCTTGTACTTTATCACTTGACGAAATCACTGTTGGACATTGATATTCTATCATCATACGGGCCCATTGAGGGTCAAATCTCCCTCTCTCTCTCTCTGCTCTCCAAAGAGATATGAAGCGGTACCGGTCGAATTGTTGTCGCATTTACTTAATCAGATGTGAATGAGGCACCAAAGGTGTCTCAATTTAACAAACTCCAAACGAGCCTTCTGAATGCACGCCAAAACTCCACCCGCGATCGGTCCGTTCGGGAGGTGCTTATGCAACACAATTCCCAATGAGGATGAGGTTTTCTGGATGAATCAAACCAGTCTCATGGCAGCATAGTATTGGACACTTTGAAGACTCAAAACGTATCTCGCACATAGCTAGCTAGCTAGTTTCTATAGACAAGTGTTTGGATGAGAGCGAAAATGCAAGTGCCGTCCGGTTGTTTATATGCGGGAACTTATGAGTATTGTTTATCTCAAACAACTACTGAGTTCATATTAGTAGTGTTTCTCCTCTGATCCCACATAGATTCACAGACAATCTGACTAACGTGTTGTTCACAATCCCTAGAAGCTAATTTAGTCCCCACAGTTTTGGTGTTGTAATCATCGACTAATATGTATATATTCGGAGGTTCAATACGAAGCAATGAATGATGGTTAGTTTGTCCGTGTTTGGAACGCATCAGCGTCATGTGATATGGACGGACTCACCGGCTCTCGAATGAGAACGGAAGACCTTACCTGTTTGGTACACAGGTCGATGGTCAAACAGAACAATAAGACGCTATTAATATTTCAAACGTGAAACTAGTCCGCGGTAGCCCGGTGGTAACGTCGTCAAATTACCACTCTGTGGGACGAGTGTTCGAATCCCACCACCACCGCCTGACTTTCCCCGTCATGTGTGTTGTACGGCAGCCCTGTTTTGATTGACCGCTTTCCTCTTTCCTGAAAATTGTCATTACGCATTCTATAAAAGGAAGTCAAAATGAAAAAGACAAAACAAATTCGTCGTGTATGGAGCAAATGAAGCGTGAACTGAAAGGCTATGAAACACTGGACAGCAGCTGTTTCGACCTAGTTGGGTCTCATCAGTAGCAGTGAACGAATCCATCGATCCAACTGGGGAAAAGGAAAATAAAAAAGTGTGGTCTGATCAGCTGCTCCCGGGGTGACCAAGTGAATAGCATGCTTGCGTTCTGCCTGTGAGGTCCCGGGTTCGCGATCCCCTCAGTTGGATCGATGGATTCGCTCACTGCTGCCGATGAGACCCAACCAGGGCGAAACAGCTGCTATCCAGTAGTGCTTCGTAGCTTTTCAGATCGCGCTTCATTTACTATATGCACGATGAATTTCACCTTTGAAATCAAATCCCCCATTACTCACATGAAACTAATAATATTGTCTATAAATTCACTTGGAACTAAAGAACAAAGCACATAATTCCCTAAAACCGTGTGCTTAAGTTTTACTAATTCGATTATGTAGTTCATGGATACGGGTTTCGGTTCCCAACTCAGACGTCTCATGGTTCGAGTCCTGATAGGGACACAAAGATTGGTGCGCATCGCTCATAAATCTCAACAAGGAGGCTCTTAACACACACCAATTAATCGCCAATGGAAACAATTTACCTGTGCATTCCCATATCGATTTTTCTTTATTGATTAGTCCGCGAGTGAAAGTCTAAGCGGTAACTAAATTATCAAGCATTTGTGTGTTCGAAAAGGAGTCAACATGTGTGCAAAACTGTGCCATAACACATAAGCATCGGTCACCAGTAGAGAGAGAAAGAAATCTATATATGTTCATGTCTCAACGATTTGGTAGGCCTTTGTTTACATAATATTCATGTTGCCTACTTGGTTATCTGTTGTTCTTTTTCCCTTCTCATTCTATCTTTAATAATTTATCAATAAGTGCAGTGGTTTCCGAGAGAGAAAAAGTGGCATACTGGCAATGAACATCTGTTCTCACAGAGATCAATTTTAATGGTTTT